AAGGAAAACTATGAGATAAACTCAGTAAGTAAAATATGGATTGCCCTTAATTAAACGTATAGCATGCCAACAAGTATAATCACAAAAAACGATTACAGTGTGGGAACGAAATAGATGTCTCCTCTATAGGTCACGGCTAGTGTTATAAACCTCCCATTGGCAGGCTACAGTATTTGCTGGTGTATAATCCCCACTAGCAGGGTAACAGAAACAAACCGGTTCTATCAGTAACATGTCGACATGTGCTAGCATTTAACCCCCACTAACAGGATCATTAATAACATAACCACATCGGAGACAAAACAGGTAGAAGTTAATAGAAAAATCATAATTCACCAATCATTTTCAAATCATCAGGACAATCAATTAAATTTCAAGTAGGCATGCTCAATTCAATGAAAAGCATAAAAATTTATTTCAAATCAATCATACCTACTTTTGCATAAAACGGGTTTAGTCTCGCCACCACTTCAAAAATAAATCAAAACATGCTTTTAAAAACTATACGGGCATTACCATAAATTTACTTACCTCACTCGCACAAAACTGAAGACTCGATCTCAGTGCTAATTGACAGAACGATCGGGAACCTAATCAAAATATCCAAGAATTAATTCTATACTATCACAAATTCAAGTGAAATCGTCATTAGAACTACCCATAATCACGATGCTATTTCTATCAGTCTCCAAATTATCAAATATCTCCAAATTCGTTCTTATATCACAAACTAATCATTTAAATCCCCGTTAATTGTTGGCCATTAGTGCATGAATAGTAATATGTGAACAGTATCATAAACAGTATCCGTGAACAGTAACCACGACGTGAACAGTAACTGCACTTCCAAAAATTGGCCAAACACTAGCTAATCACGGGTTTTTCTCCAAAAATCATAGCAGCCATAATCAAGCTAATTTCTCTACCTAAACCAAGCTTAAAACATAACTTAAGCTACCGAAATTCATCCCCATTTTCTGCAGATTTTTGGACACACAAGGCAGCAAATAAATGGACAAATTCGGGGCTTGGAGGGCTGTCAACATACCAGAATTTTCCAACTGCAGAAACCGGAGCTGTGGGGGAGAAGAATCCGGCGGCAATCTACAGGGGACTCTCACGGGGCTACCAAAATTGGAGGAACAAGAGCAATTAAGGTAAACCCAAGGCAATTCAAAGCTAAAGAGATGGAATCATGGCTGCTCTTACCGAAAAAAATGCCCAGAAATCACCCACAATCAAGAGCAGCCGGCGGTGAAGAAGGAAGGAGCAGAGCAGATCCGGGATTCTGCATAGGGGGGGGGGAAGTTTCCAAGCTTAAATCTTGTTCTTGAACAAGAAAAGAAGGCAAAAATCATCAAGCTTTACCGGTTTCTTCCAAGGGGAGGTGTGGATCGGCTTGGGTCTTCTTGTTTGGTGCAGGGAGAAGAAGAAG